GAATAGTAAGTAATTATTCTTGGCCTCCGTCTAGTTTGAAGGCGAGCGCTTGGCTACAAGTAGATGATATTAGAAATTTGAGCTGCTGTGATTTGATGGGTAGGTCACCTTCTTTCCCTGGCTAACTGAATATTGAATAATTTTTATGTAACTTGCTCCTTACAGGCAAAAATCTTGTAGGCTGCAAGAGGGCAGTAACAGTGCCTGGGCCGTAAGGGCAGCAGTGTTTGCATCTGATGCCTTGCCCGTCTGCCCTGAGCTCTGAAGTCACCTCTTCTTTTGACTTGGGCATCTTTGCCTCTACATTTGCCCTTTGTTGTACCTCCCTCAGAAAGGCAGCTGGAGCAGGCGTTGCTGCATTTATTTCTTGTTAAACTCCTTGTGAAAGGAATTTCTTAAACTCTTGTTTTCCCATCTGACCCCTTGGACAGAGGACCTGGGCACGAGGTCCCTGGTTGCTTGCAGCAAGGGCAGCAGCTCCGTGTTGAAACACCCACGTATCACCACAGTTTGTGGATCGGGGAGAGCGTTTTAAAGGGTTCGTTTTCAGGCCTGGCAGAGGGACCCCGGTGGGCTGCCTTCGGGGAGCACCATGGTGTAGCTCCAGCCTCACTCTCCCGCAAAGCTCCTGCCTGTCTTCCCGGTGAATTATGGTTGATCACCTTTGGTGCCCTTTCCCAGGCTTTGATAAAATGTGCCTCTGAGCAGTTGTCTGTAGGATTTCTGTGGCCATCTGTTGGTACCCAGGACGGTAGCATCACCGCCTAATTGCATGGGCTTTTAGCAGAGGAGGAGGAGGCCTGGGGTGTGGGCTGTTCACTCACACACTGCTTCTGCACCCGAAAACCCTCTCGCCATCAGCAGGAGCAGTGGGGTGAACCCTCATTTTTGGGCCTAGAGATGCTTGGGCCAAGGCAGCATCCCTCTTCACAAAAATCGTGCTGTTTGTGCTGGGCACTTTCCTCTGGTACTTTCCAGGAAATGAGCTTTATCCTCGGGCTGCTGCCCATCAGGGCAGTGCCCTACGCATCCCTTGTGCAGGCTCCCTCTCCCAGAGCTGCTACATCAAAGCACCAAGGGCTGGAGCTGTTCTGGTGTTCCCCAAATTACGTGCTTCACAAGGTCTGCATTGCGTCCCTCCAGCTGATCCGGACGATATAATGGAATTTCTAGCAGGTAGGAGGGGTTGCGCTGGTGAGGTTGCTTGGGGATTGCTGTGATCTGTAACAGCTGGCTCAGGTGGGATCCCACCAGCTGTCCCAGTTGGTGACATGGGGGATTTTTTAAGTGAGGAAGACCCGAAGTGAGCGGACTGCAGATCAAGCCCTGTGTTTATTAACAGCCATGGGGTGCCCCATGCTTGTTCACTGGTTCCCCCGATTATAATACCCTTTTGCGTAGTAAAATTAATTCAAACTTGAGATAATGCTAAGCTAAAAAAACCCCAAAACAAGCACTTAGCCCTGATGAGTTCAGCTCTCCGCTTCCTCTTGAAGGTTTCCTTTTCTCGTGCTGTTCCAAATCTTGATTTTTCTTTTTGTATTTTTCCTTCCCTGCTGACCTCACGAGGACACAATCACCTTCAGGCTTAGGAAGCATTCCCTTTCCTACAGCTGCCGCCTTGGTCACGCTCGCGTGGAGACTGGAAAGCCAAGACAGTTGTTGCGCCAAAGAGTTTGTCCTTGGTTGTAGTTCCATCCGGCTGTGGGAAAGTGCTCCCCGTCCTGATGGGCTGTGATTTACGCTCCAGCATGCTGACGTACATGGCAATTGGCACCTGTTTGTGCTGATACGCAGGACCGGGAGTTGGAAATTCAGGGTGTATATCTTTATGTCCCCTTCAGCCATTCTTGCTGCAGGAGCAGCAGTCTGGAAAAGGGCCATTGTGTTAAGCTGGGATGGCTGAAGGAGTTAATCTGCTGCCTCGCTGTAATATAATAGAAAGAAAAACATGCCTGTGGGGCTAGTCCATTTTACTATGTAGCTTCAGCTGGTAATTAAAAAGAAACAGTTCAAAATTAAGCAGTAATATGAATAAAACCCAAAATTAAATACACCCAGGACAGGTTGCATTTTTCAGTGGGTATATGCTTAACATATCCTGAAACCATGCTTTTTAAAAAAAAATATCTCGGGCCGGGTGCTTAAAAGCGTGAGCTCCCCAGGCTCCCTTAGAGCTTTGCTTTTTGCCGTGAGGGTGCCCCTTTCATTGCAGCTCACTCGTCACCGGGCTGCCTGGTACGCTCCGCTCGGGGCATGTTCCCACATTCCTCCTGTTACGATGGAGACAAAAAACCAAAATCGAAACCCCAGATGGGCCCAGTAGCAATCTTATTTGCGAATCAAGAGCACAAATGTGGTTTCAGGTTGATGGGAAGGATTTCATGTGTCCCTTTTAAAGGTGATGATCCCAAAAGTGAGGACAATGTGCCCATTTAAGGTGGAGTAAAGCGATCATGGGCGCTGCCCTTCAGGTGTCCTGCCAGGCATCAGTGCAGGGGAATGCAATGGCTGAGCAAAGGAGCCGGCTGTGACCTTCTCTGTGTGTAGATCAGGCAGCTGGCTACTTTTAAATGGAGTGGTGCAGCCGAGCACTGTGATAATTTTGAGGTAAGGCCCTGAGGAGCAGGGAGGTGGGTGGGAAGGAGCGATAGGAGAAGAGGTATTTTCAACCACAAGCTTCCCAAGTGGCAGATTTCCAAAAGATGGGAAGTGTTGTCTGAAAAAGGCTCACCCTCTGCTCCACTTGCTTCCTACATTCTTTCCCAAAGTATGTTACTGAACACTTTTGGGGGGTGCTGGATGTATCTGGGATGACTGCTTGTTTCAATGACACCTGTGGAGCAACGTGCTGCACCCCTGCAGCACCTCTCCTGGAGTGCTGCTTTTCTCCCCAAACATTCTCACAAACTTCTAGTGGCCACAAAACTCCTTACTTACATGGGGAGAGGGGTTTTCCTGGCACTGAGGCAGGATTTGGTTTCTGAATATAGAGAATTGGCTAGTATCCTGTGGGTGAGATGCCCACGGGAGCCGGTACCACACAGTCTATCTCCTTTCTCATTGTGGGGTTGGGTCCATTCACATCCGTTGAGCACTCCAGCGTTTTTTCCCCCATAATGGTCTTTCCGATGTCTTTTATTCAAAAATGGAATGAGTCTATTTAATCTGTGGCAGACAAAGAACAGTTTAAAGTGAAGGGAGTAAAGAAGTAGAAGGAAGCAATTTACGCCATCATGTCTGATTTGACTGGAAACTAGTATGGGATGTTCAGGTTGCTGGTAAGCATGGGCATTGGTTTCATACACAGTGTTTTGTTGTCTAGCAGGCTAACAGTCTTCTAAGTCCTATAACCAAATAGCTGTTGTGAGTTCCAGGGAGAAGCCATTTTCTTCTTACCAACTCTTAGTTCAGCTATAAATAAGAAAAAAAACCCAAACAAAAAACAAACACCACTGTCTCCCATCGAGAGTGCAGTCTCATGCCGGCAGTATGACTTGATTTTACTGTCTTTTTGTTGACATGATCCAAGACTACAGTCCAGAAGTCTAACTGGTGGCACTTGGACCTGCAAGTCATCACTGCTGGGCAGGGTGTTGTTATGGGAACTTGTTGCGCTTCAGCCGGAAAAACACTTGTGGAAATGGACTGGTCAAAGAGTAACTCTTCTTTTGCAAACATTTAGCCTTTTAGGTAGGTTTAGTCATCAGAATTATTCTACTGAACTCAGTGAAACTGAGAAACGACACCTATGCAAGAGTAATGGATGCGAGTAAATCCCTCATACAAAATCCACAAAAGCCATGCATGTAGGCTTCAAATTTCACAAAGGTAATTCTATCCCTTCCAGTGTTTCACTTTTGATTAAGCTGCAAATCCTTCCTCCCACTATTTCATAGTTTATTTGCCTAAGCTTGAATTTGGGCATTGGCCAAAGCAGGGGGTTATCCTACAGAGTTACTGCTTGCGTACACCTTTGCTGGTTGGACATGAAGCTGAATCGTTGGCAGAGGAGACCATGCCAGTGGTGTGGTGAGGGCACTGAACCTAAAACATCCTTACAACGTGGTGTGGTGGTTCACAGAAGGGGGAAGGATGGAAATTCCATATCAAAGCTCTTTTACCCTCCCCCCAAAGCAGGGGGTTATCCTACAGAGTTACTGCTTGCGTACACCTTTGCTGGTTGGACATGAAGCTGAATCGTTGGCAGAGGAGACCATGCCAGTGGTGTGGTGAGGGCACTGAACCTAAAACATCCTTACAACGTGGTGTGGTGGTTCACAGAAGGGGGAAGGATGGAAATTCCATATCAAAGCTCTTTTACCCTCCCCCCCCGCCCATTAATCTGGACTCTAAGTTCCTTTAGAAACTGACACATTCATTGCATGTAGAAGAAAAGGTTTCAAGTCTTATCCTTCTTCCAATAGTGCCTGTGGTACAGCAGCTGTTGACTTCAGCTTATATATTTAAGACCTTGTTTTGAGGTGTTTTGACCTTTTTAATAGGGGTGTACTAGTCATAGTACATGTGCTAGGAATAATACAATATTTCTAAAGTGCCATCAAGACAGAAATTAACTGAGATAGCTTTTCACTCCATGGTCTTTGTTGTTTTAGCGACCTTGCACAAGGGAAGACTTGTATCCAAGAGCCCAGCCTATAGCTAGCCATGAGAGCTGCTATCAACCAGGAGAGTCTTTTTCTGGCTTGGGGGTCTTGGGGCTGAGGGAACAGGGGTCTCATGCCCATTGCAGCGTTTTTTTTGTCTAGGAATTGTTTCTGTTGATTTAATCAAACACAAAATACCAAAACCCCAAATTTTGAATTTTTCATTAGTAAGTTCATCGTAGAAGCTTTGCAAAAAGAAGTCAAGCTGTTGGAAGTCAACCTCAGCAGCGGCTTCGGGTGTGCAGGGCTGAAGGCTGAAGCCCTAACTAATGTCCCTGCAGCTTTCTCAGCATCAGGAAAACCAACCTCAGTCCCAGGCTGCCCGTCAGCAGCATGACCGCCGTGCACCGGGCCGTGCCCGTGTGCCTCCGCCGTGCTAAGCCGGTAGGATAGGTGGTGGCTAGGGGTTTCTCCCAGCACCTCTGTCAGATTCAGACTGTTTTATTAAACTGGTTAATTGGCAGTTTGAAAGGGAGGAGAGAAAAAGCAAGGTCCTTAGGTCTCCCTGGTCAGTGCCAAGCCGCAGACTGTTAACTACTCCTGCCTTTCAGAAGCAATAACTGCGGGTTTGGGGAACATATGGAACCAACTAGCCGAAAGGCTTTTATGAGGAGTTTTAACAGGGGGCACAGTTTTGTGAGCAGAAATTCCAGTGGATGAGTTAATAGTTTCACTTTCCTGAGCTGTCCCTTTACAGGAATAACAACAACAAAGTCGGGCGTGTTCCTCCCGCGGCCCCGGCAGTACAATGTGCCGATGCATCCAAGATTTAGTTTGGACACTGGGGGAGTCCTTTAGTAGATCCCCCAGGACCTGTTTTTTTTGGAGCTATTTCCTGATGCTGACCTCATTAGGTGAGTTTCACAGCTCACTAATTCCTAGCAACAACAGAAGAGATTCAAGGAAAGGGGAAACCCGTCTTCTGGAAACCAATGGAACTGAACAGATTGGGGCAAACACTTTTATTGCTTTTTATTAATCTGGAAAATCAGGGACTTGGGTTTTGGTTTTAGTTGTTTGGGGTTTTTTTTCTTTTTTTTTTCCCCCATTCCCCAAGCCATTATTTTGACCTGAAACTGTATATTTGATTTTTCTATTTGAGCACAGAGAAAGATAAGTACAAAAGAACAACTCCTGAAGAACCGTGTACCTCAATATTTATGTTGTGGTTTGCTTTGAGCCAAGCAGGAGAGTGGACATTTCTTTTTCCAAAGTTGCAGTTTGGGCACTGACAGGATATAGTCACTTAAATGCTTCCCGTAATGCTTATTTAGTGTTTGCATTGTGGTGGCACATGGCCAAAAGAGAGAGCAAAGGAAAACAATAGTTGCCTGCTCAAGAGCTGACATCATAGTGTGAAATTTAAGTACTTGTTTTTGTGGTATTGTTATTAATCATGGTTCTATGCAGGGGTCATCCTGTAACTCCAGCTACTGGAGTCCTGTGAGTGCAATGCTTGTAATTCAGCCGTGGTAAGTTTAGGACTGGAAAGTCATTTCTCCCCTGTCACCTAATAGTGAAATTCGTCTCAGCACCAGAGTTTGGTCTGAGAGTTTTCTCCAGGTTGTCTTTAGTTCTCAAGTCACCTGTACAGCAAACACTCCAGAAGAACACCGGTCCATTTCTCTTCAGCTTAACACAAAATCTGTATAACAGAAGAAAATTCCTGGATTTGTTGTCTATTTTATTAACAGTATAGTTCATAAGAAAGTTTGGGACCACTCAGGTGTTTTATAGATAATAACATTTCCATGTCTTATTTTACGGTGGCCTCTCAGATTCCCCCCCTGAAGCTGTTCTTCCATTGTGGCATCATTTTGAACCACAGGCAGACAAACTGAAGAGGTGGGCCTTGCAACCTTCCCACTTCTTTAGAAAGCCATAGTATTACCCCCTATTGACCGACAGCAGCTCGGCTCTCTGCCTGCTTGTCAGAATTTGATTTCTGACAAAGCGTGCGAGCATCCAGTGTAATCACCCAAAGTCGACTCGCTCACCTGTGCAAATGTATTAAAAATGTAGAGCTGAAAGGATACAGCTAACTCTCTGTGTCCTTGAGCAGATGTTCGGTGATGATTGTGGTGAAGGGTTCATGTACTGAATGGCATCTTTTTAGAAAATTGAACGTCGTCTTTCTTCTTTTATGCCATTCAGGACTAGCAGCTGACATAAACCAGGAACGATACTCTATTTGACGGGGATTGGTTTTTGTTTTCTGGGCTTTTTATGCTCTTCTCAGGCAGGGCCAAAAGCACTTAAGATGGGTAAGGGGTCTTGTGCAAAGGCCATGATTTCTCCTCTTTAGCTACTACATACAGCATTGACATGGTGTTGGCCTTCTGGAGCCTCAAACTTCCAGTATGAAGTTGCAGACTTGTGGCACAATAGAACGTGACACGTGAAGGTTTTCTAGAGTACCTCAGAACAAGTGGGGTTTTTATCTAGCTTTGCTCCCAAAACCACATACAACGAAGAACATGGTTTCTGGTGGAAAGCCTCAGGTATTCCTAAGCCCAGTCCAGGTACCCGTCTATTCACTTGCCCTCCCTATTTGAAAAGGTGACAATGCTTTCTTAGATCTGTTTCTGTGGATTTGGTTTACTTACCTAAAAGCCAGATCTTAATAAATTCTCACATAAAATCAAACCATCTATTCCCATGGGCTTGCAGAACCAAGTTCAAACGGTCCCATCAGCTAATGCTGTTGTGCATATACCAATGCTTCTGTGCAATGACAGCCCACTTTGAAACCTGGAGACCCAGTGCAGTTTGGTCCACTTGCTTCATATGCGGGCTTTGGAGGTTTTCTAATAGCTCATCTTTTGAAGCTGAAAGTTAAATACCTTAAACATTGAATTTGGTTTATATGTGTATTTTCTAACCCATGGCTTCCATGAACGTGTGACTCCTGGCTCTTTAATCCAGAGGCGTGGAGGGGGAGATGGGGGGAAATACTGTTTGAGAGTCAAGGTAATCAGTATAGCCGTTTGCTTTATTGGTCTTCACTGGGCTTGTTTGATCCCTTACTGACGCCCGGAGTGAGCTTGCATGTGTTGGCAAAGGCTGGTCTGTGTAGATTTGGTTTCAACTGAAGTGCCCGAGATAATAGAGGCAAAAGAGCAAAGTGAGACGGCAGCAGCACAGATGCTGTTGGGTGAGAACAGAATCACCGTGGTTGGAAAAGACCTATGAGATCATGTAGTCCCACCGTGTTGAACTAGACAGTTGGCACGAACATAAGAAATGGCCCAGTCTTGTTCCCCAAGAAATGAAATTTGGGGTTTCTGTAGACCTCCCCCCTCCTGGAGATCCTTCAGTTGAAGTCACCAGTGATGCAAGAGCAGCCTGGCCAGCGCTGCTGCATCCCCCCTGACCTTTCTGTGGCAGAAGTGACCGGTCCAGCTCCCTTAGCCTTTAGATGGCCATAGTCTGTGCAAAAGAGCTGCCAAAAAGCCCAGCCTGGTGGTTTCTGCTGCTGTGTGAACTGGTGGTACCCGCTCCGCGCCTAAGGGCTGAGCTGGTGTCTCCAAACACCCAAGTAAAGTCTGTGCGTTGGGTTGCTGCTCGGCAGAGGAGAATGACACCGCTCAGACAAAAAGGCTTCCTCCTGGCAGGGTGAAAAGCCCTTTCTGCTGTCCATGGTTGATCGGTCGCAAACAGGGACCAGAGACAGCCATGCAAAATGGCTTTCCAAGTGTGTCGATGTGAGGACCGTAAACTGCGTGAATAAAAACGCACTTTCCCAGAGCCAGAGCCACAACTTCCCATCCCTTCCCAGAACAAATACTGTCCGCTGTATTTATTAGGTGGGACTGTGTAGAGGCAGTCGCCCTCAGAGTGTTTATTTTGAAGTCATCAGTCGTTCAGTAATCTCCGGCACCTCTTGGAGATTTAACTCAGATAGGGGTTTAGGCTGGAGATCGTGAGGTCACTGATATTAAGACAGAAAGAAGGAAAGGAAACAGCGTTGTTTTTGTGTCATTATCTGAACAGTAAGGAAAAATAAATTTGGGTTTTAAGATGGCTTTAACCTGACTCTGAAGGATATGGTCCACAAATCCAGCCAACAAGCAGGCGGCTGCAACAAGACCCTACTTCTCTTCGAGTTTGTTTTGAGCCGCCCGACCAAAAACCATGGTGGTTATGGCTTGATTAAGCCAGACTTCTCTAGAAATCTGTTTAAGTGGTTACAGCTTGCCTTTAGCATATTCAAGTGTTTGAGTTTCTAATTTTAACTTCCCTCCTAAATAAAATCTCTTGAGTTGCTTTCTGGGCAGTAGCAATGAGCTCGCCAGCAGTGGTAGCAGCTGCTGGACATCAGCTGGTGGTCAGCATCATCCCTAGGTCCCACATCTGCTCGGGGGCACAGAGCAGGGACACCAACGTCCTGACGCTAATGAAATCTGGGGTCTGGTGCACAGGGGTCCATCTACTGTTGTAAACCCAAAACAGCTCGTTCTGTCTCATGTGGAGTCTTTGATGTCTTATCAGAAGTGAACTTGTACCATAGGCTTTTCTGCAGCCCAGCACTTATTTTCAGGGAGCATATAGGTAATTTTATTTAAGACCTCTAATCCCCTGCAAATGTGACTGAAATCAGCTTAATAGGTCCCAAGTTTATTAGGAAGAGACAGACAGACAGACCCAGAGCACTAATGCACCAGACTGGTTTACCCAGGAAGCCAGAATAATACAAAAAACTAAAAGGCATTGGGAGTGAAGTAAGGATTTGTTTATCGCCGCCTTAGTATTTTATCGTAAAACACACTGTCTGATCCTCAGGGTTTGTTGGTGGTTTGTATATGTATGTGCCGGTGTGTATACATATTTTTGTATTAAAAAATCCAGCAACGTTCATTGTTTAAAAAATCAAAAATGAGAAGGATTTTACTAAAAGCATTTTGGGAAAACTTCTGCTCTCGGTTTTCCTGTCAACGTTTTTCTAAGCTTTTATTTTTATTAGCCAAAATGTTTAGAATCCCCAGGAAATCCTGGGATGAACCATTTCCTCTTCGAGCTGTAGCCCTTAGGGGAAAACGAAAATGCTCAGATCCTTTCAAAGGTTAGAAATTTTTCAAACCATATTTTTTGCAGATTTTTTAAATTAGAGAAAAACTAAGTTAGGAAGATGCTTAACTTCAGGCTGTGGTCCTGGGAAAGATTGATCTCCGTAGAAAAGCCTGAAGAGACTCTTAGATCTGGGCAAGGAAATCTTTTAGGCTTGGATCTTAATGGGAAACTGATTGCCGAATTGAAGTATAACAGGTTCAGTTGAAAGACCATCTTTATGGTTTTTTTTAAAAGTAAATTAAAACAGAAATTTGCTTTTCCTCAACCAGTTTGTGTATGTTAGTTAGCATGTAACAACTTTGTATTAAGAGGCTGTTAATTCCCTGGAGATACTTTTTATTGTTATTATTTTTAAAAAAATCTCAGATCTTATTTGTTAGATACCTGAGGTTTTGCAGGAGTAAATCCAATTGACTGTTTACTTTCCTTCAGATAAACGTCAGTGGGAGTCATAATTTTAACCTGATGAGAACTTCCGTTTTGCAAATACATATGTACATTGTTAATTTTAAAATCCTCTGGTGTTGGCCCCTTAAAGGGGGTTCAGTTGCTTAAAGTTAAGAAGGCAGGTGGGAGTGTGTGCGGCAGACCGCAACCTGGCTGGGCCAGCCGCAGCCCAGCATGGGTTACTTTACCCAGGTTTTGAGATGATGTTTAATCTTTAGGATGGAGAGGGCACTGCTGTTATAAATGAGAGAAGCTGAAAATGTGGTGAAATGTGAGGCTGAGGGATGCAGGAATCTTTGCATGAAAAATGACACATCGATATAACTTTTCAGAACTCTGAATTTGCAGTCGCTATGTCTCACTTTATTTTAGGACAAATGTGTTTGCTTTTGATATAATTTGTGACAAACGGTCTTAACTGCTGTTCTTCTGATTTATTCGTCTACATTTATCCAGTTCCTTTGGAAGGTTCTTGGAAAGCTGAACATGAAAAGCCCAGACTTGGTGGTTCAGTAACTGGTATAAATTACTCCCACAGTCTATCACAAATATAAAAAGATTTATGGTAATTTATGTGAAATTTAGTAGCCTTTTTGGAAATGTAAGGAAAAAAGATCATCTTTAGGGACTTTTTTTTTTTTTATTACCTACATTTACGTAGTGTGGATTGCTTCTGCTTTCTTGGTACTTTCAGGTTTGGTGTGGGGTCACCCAACTAGTCTTCTGGGACCGTGTGACAGTTCTGAATCTCTGTTCACTGTGCAAAAGGGTTGAGAAGGGGGAAAGACTAAAGGACGGAGGCTAATAGTGAATTTCCTAAAGTTTCTGCTACTAGAAACATGCAGAGAATCCCAAAACTGCAACTGTGACTTCAGGAGTTTGGAAGATCTTGATTTTTATCAAAAACCTTCGGGCTGAGTTTGGGTTTTGGATTTAAACTAGCAGACAGGAAACAAAGTCAGAGGCAAGTTTCCTAATGTAGGTGCCTTTTCATTTTAAAGTCTCTCATGTAGCCAAGTAGTCAAGCAAAGGTAACCTAAAAGTCCTCAGACCATGATCTCTGGGCAATATGTGTACGTGTTGTAAAGTTACTCTTTATGAGGAATACCAAAGTTCTTATTATAAAGTGGTCTGCTAGTAGAGGACTTTGCATCCAATCCTTTTTCCAACTGGGAATGCCTAAAGACCTGCCCTTGTTATTGTGGGCCAGGATGGGTTGATGGACTTCAGGCTCAAGGTAATTTTTTCAAAGTTTGGCCTTTTAGGCTTTGCTGCTTTGTTTCCTAATGTCTTTAACTCCTCCCTCTTTTTCCTGTGTGTGTTTCTACAGGTGCTGTTTGCTCTAAACCAAACCCTCCTCCAACACGAAAGCCTCCGAGCAGGTAGTTTGCAGGCCCCGTACACCACTGAAGATCTCATCAAGCATTATAACTGTGGAGACCTGAATGCTGTCATATTCAACCATGACACTTCTCAGGTAAGCAGAAGCACTGTAGGTAGGCCAGCGAATTGAGAAAAATCAGCGGCGTTAATAGCCAAGTCCCTCACAGAGCCAGAAGTGTCTCCTACCAAAACCCTGATCTAAAATTTCTACGCCAGGTATAACGAGCTGCATTCAGTAAAACTGAGGTGAATTGAGGTTCAGAGAGGTTAAGAGCCTGGCATAAAGCTTATCAGGTGCCTGTAGCACAGCAATAAGTAAAGTTTTGGTCTTAGGGTCATTGCTTTATACTCCATCTCCTCTTTACCCTCCTCCTTTGATGCCCTGTGTTCTCGCTTGCCTGGTGAGAGGGGGTAGTTCCTTGGTATTGCTTGGGCTCTCGGGAAGGTACAGTCTGGAAAGCTTTCCTAGGAATGTGCCTGAAAAAAAGTTGATTATGGATGTTTGTGAGGCTGTTGAATGTAGTTCCCTCATTAAGGAGGTGGAGGGGATCTTTGAGCTTATATATGAAGAGGAAGTGAACCTTATGTAAATACTCTATAAAGTAAATAACTTCTCAAACATGTCATAATTCAATAATTTTGTGTGTGTCTCAGGCAGCCCTTCAGTCGCTGTTTATCTTAGTTATCCAACGCTATTAAAAACTCTCAACAGAGCAGAAATCTGCTTTCCAGACCACTTTGATAGCTCATGGCAAACTCTGAGATTCTCATTTAATATGTAGGTTCCTCTTTCTCCTTTTCTGTTAATTCCATGGAAACTAGGTCTTTGGATGTCATTGCCTACCTCTCCTTTGTTTGATAAATGTTCTTGGGTGCAGATGGGACCTCTGTGAACTTTGGCAGCCACAGCATTATGTATGTTTTGGCAATGAAAATCTATTAAATCATGAAAGCACGCCACCGTTAGCAAATGCAAATGGAGGATATCTATGTGACTTCAAGAGAGAACTGAGACGGGGCGGGCTCAGTTGGGACAGAAGTCTCTGAGGCACCTTATCTTGCCATTGCTATCTTGAGTTGCACAGGGCTCTGTGCAACTCAGAGAAAGTGAGGATGGCCCCAACCTGGCCTCTCTTTTCCT